ATATATAACAGAATTTAAATGAGAACAGCCTACGTAGCTGCGTGATCACACCCAATCATCCACATCACATGAGCTGGAACAATTCTCACTGTCCAGTCCTAATGATGGACCAAAGTATCACTTTCACAAGTTAAATCCCTGTTGCATGAATTACCCACTTCCTGCAGAATACTGCAGCAGTTTGTAGCCAGTCTCAGGATTCTCGCCAACCATGTTCAAAACTGGCTTGCAGAAGTTAATGCTTTCAGAAATAACTGCTTGTTTTACCTAGTAACACCTTCTGCACTACTGAAATGCCACTGAGAGTAGCTCTACTTCTAGAAGCAACGTGGTTCAGAGAGCCTCTGAAGCTGGGTGAAAAGAAAAAAAAAAATCTATGCAACAGTAGAATTCCCTTTAGGTCAGCAGAGACCCTAATCTTAAGTCTTGTGAAAAGAAAAAGAAAAAATAAAAAAATAAAAAAATACATTAGCTTGCAAAACAAACACCTACTAGACTACATTTATTTTCTTGTGGTTAATACTCTACATATTCCAATAATACAACCTTTGTAACCTCTGCAGGTTTTCAACCAACGTTTGAAAGTCTGCATAAGTCTTCAGTATCTAGTTTCAGAAGTGTCACATATAGAAAGAAAAGCAGAAAGAAAGAAAACCTGTTAAGAACTGCAATGATTTGTAAGGGTGAAAGAAGCAGGTTGTTAAAAACATTTGTCATTTTGAGCTAAATCAGACTCATACAGTCAAAGCTTCCATCTTTATTGCTATTTAATTGGTCTTTGTAAGAATGCTGGGAGAAGGAAGCTGTCTGGAAGCTGATGAGATTATACACAGACTGAAAAGTTCCATGACAATTTGCAAGCTTTGGTAATGGGACAGAAAGTTGGAAGTTTGTTGTTTAAGCAAAAGCAGACAAGTCATGGCAGGAGGGAGTGAGAAGGGAAATCATCAGTGAGAAGTAAAGTTAGTACACTGACCTGTAGCTCCTAGGGTTACCTTAGATATATAAATGATGAATATGCAATAAGCCAGGAAGCAAAGGCAAAAATTTTGAGGAATGCCTCTTCTGTAAAGCTCTCCACTTCTGACCAAATTAATGAACAACACGCATAACTAATAATCCTGACTGTGTATTAAACATCCTTTTGCCAACCTATCTGGAAGTACCTAAAGAACAATAAAAAAAGTCACTGAGTGATCACTAGTGTACTAGAATATATGCCAACTATACTAAAAAGCACAGCCAGGGCCTCAGAATAGACTAATTTTCCTAAATCAAGTGTTCTCAACCAGGATTTTGCAGATCTGGTCACAGCAGTGGATCTCTGTACTACTTTAAGTGGGTCTGCAAAAAAGGCTGAAGAACAGCAAGTGTAACACTAACAGTCTAATAGTAATCATACAAGAGCATAAGCCTCGACAACAGAACTTCAGATATTTTGTAAATCAAAAGTGGCAAAAATTACTCCATCAGGGATGGGACTGAAGCAATGGAAAAATCTCCAGTGAGAAGGCTGAATCAAGAAAAGGGTGCTAGGAAACTCAGAAGCACCTAAAGATGGCTTGATTCTTCGGACAGAGCAATTCCACTCTGTTCCAAGTGAGTTCCTATATTGTGTTCACCACTGAAGGAATATTGTAAAGTAATATACTGAGCAACATGACTAACATCTGTCACATATATGTCCTTTCATCCTTCCCCAGAGGAAAGAAGTAACTGTCTTCCTCTATCTTGCTGTTCTGATGTTAGAAAACAGAAGATCAAAGAAATGGCATGAATGATGAGCAGAGGATAGTGAAATTTTTCCACTGTGGCTGGGGACCGTCCAGGACTGTCTCTTTTGAAGAAAGTGTTCCACTGGGCCAGTAAAGCATCACTGTCAAGCATGGCCTGCAGCTCAAAGCCGACAATGACCTTATGGATGTGATGGAGCCAGGTCACTCACTATCTGAGCATAGAGACAGTATTTCTGTATTTGAAATCCTACACAGAGGCCATTACACACCGTCTAGAGTAAGTTTAATACTTCCAGAATAATCTGCAGTTCTCTGAAGTTTTCTTAGTGTTAAAGGCTGCTTGCCTTTAACAGATGCATTTCATTGCTGAAGTCCAGCTGACAGAGGCATGAATAACCAGCAAATGACTGAGGCCATCAGTGGTCCAGTGAAAAGCATTCCTCTCACGTAAGAGAACAGAAGGTGGAATTAAGAGACAGGAGACGTGACAGAACCTGGAGGCTAACTAGAAAGAGAGGAATGAAGGGTGGACCTCGGTCCTCTGAAAAGACTACTCAAACATACGGGCTTTTGAACTGCAGAGGCTGAAGCAAAAGCTCTGTGTACAGATCTTCGTATTTTTCTACAGATCTTTGCATTTTGCTGGCTTCCTGAAGCAGAGGCTTATGTTTTATCAAAAACCAGAAGCAGAGTTGTTTCTACTGTCCAATGTAAAATAATCAAGCGAAGCCAGTTACTGAAGTTGATGCCCTCCTGACAAGCCAGAGAGCTGTGCTCCTGATCAGCTGGTTCTAAAAATACGTCCTGATGGACAGGTCAGCGGTGTGTACACTCAGTAGCATCACGCTGCCGGCCATCACTGAAGTGCCATCAAAATTTGCCCATTAAAAGTAACACAGAATGCTCAAGCTATCCCTAACATTTTCTACTACGAAAAAAAGAGCAGAGCAGCAATTTCATAAGCTGTTTATTATGTTGATAACAATACGTTATTATAATAATGAGCAACCAAGAGTTTCTTGCTGCTGAACACTCCTTTCACTTACTATCTTGACTGCACTTCTATGTTAGCAAAGGTTTAGTAAGAGATACATAGTGGTGAGCCCAAAAGGCATTTCGAGGACCTTTATTGGGACGGTATTCTTTTCCTTGTTTGAACATCTACATTTGTCTGCATGTACACATACACACACAGGTGTACACATACAGACTGTGTTTCTATACATGTAGGCAATTTGTAGGGGATATCATGGTAAGGAAAAGCCATCCTTCCCCCCCATTATCTATGCTGAGCGTACTGAGTTCGAATTAAAAGAGAACAAGGATGTTAAAGGAAAGAAGGACAAATTAAATAAAGGAAAGGACTTGGGGGAAAGGACAAGGACAGTAGTCTAGAGGAACTGATAGGAACACAGGTGCAGACTCTGGTTTGGATTCTGTGGGAAAACTGGTTATTGGAGCAAACCCTGGGAAGCAGACTTCATTACTGCTTCTCTACCCTGCTCGTTAAAGTTCTCTCTCTAGGTTTCATCAGCATGTGCATAATTTATATTAAATAAAAAACGGTGGAAAGAGTACTACAGGTTTTTCTGTTCAGTCCTCTTGAGAATTTTAGTTGTAATCACATACTTGATTTACCAAAATAATTAGGATCTAATAAACACATGAGCTAGTCAGTAAGATCTGGTATATGTTAAAATCCATTAGCTGTTTCATCAGGTTTTTAAAGCTAAAAGCACATCAATACTGCACTCTCTTTTGTCTTCTTTTGCTGTTGCACAAGTCCCAGCACAAGAGTTCTAGTCTGTAAGTGAGACTCCAGGGCACTTCTAATATATGAATATGAAATGTTTTCATAACTAACTTAAGAACAAATTAATTTTTAATGTGACTAAATACACACTTAATTAGAATTTTCTCTGCTACACCACCCACTTATAGGGGATAGATTAAAATATTTTCAGTGTTATCTTATCAAGTTGCATTTGTGTTATATCTTATCTACTTGGAGTAATTATTTTCTTCTCACACAAAGACTACAAGATCAGTCAGCTAGCAGCAACCTTGTGTATGCAGGATGCAAATCCAGAGCTGAAGCAGCATTACAAACACACCAGTGCAGAGCAAAACTTTTATGTCATATTTGTAACTGCTGCACTGCTTGATATTGAGTAAGACAAATAAATGTATATGAATATATAGACATATATTTAGACAATTAAAAAAAATACTAGGGGTACTTTCCATCTCTAAAAAACAACATGCAAGTCTACAGATATTCTTGTTAAGTTTACTCTTACTGTGTTATACCTCCTAAAAAAAGGCTTCACAGGAATTCTAGAAGTAATCACAAGAAAGTAGAATGAAAGTATTACCATATGCAATCTTAATCTACTTTTGTCCAAAATACATAGTGCACAGAGATGTCAGGACTAAATTCTAAAAGGAGCATTTCATTCCTAGGCTTTTCATTGTTAATGTCACTACAGGGAAATCTGTCAGCAGCAATCAGGACAACTTACTTTACTTTAGAGGAGACTTCAATTTTTTTTAATTTTCAGAAATATTTTTAGGTGCATAAGGAACTTGGAAAAATTCAATGACTGCATTTTAGTCACACAAATCACAGAATTTGATGGTGTTTCAATCACATATGTTTATAAGCATCCATCACCTAACACAAACCTTTAGTTTCTATATTATACATGATTGCTCATGATAACGAAAAATCTATTTTATTTAGTAAATTCTGTCCAATGGTGTAAAATTTGATTAGGATTTTAAACGTACTCCTCTCCAACAAACAAAATCTGGGAGAACCACAGAAAACTTTGCATCACTATACAGTCTTTGTATAAGACAGTTACTGACTCACCTCTGGGATGTGAGGGTACATGATATGGTGAAGCAACAGAGACCAGAAAGTCAAGGTGGTGGGGAAGAGCGAGTTTGATCCTGATATGGATCAAACCTATTTTGCAATAAACTTACAAGTCTACAACCAGTTACTCTTAAATCCCTTGTAAATGAAACAGAGGCAGACCTGAATAGATTGAAACATGGAATGTAAATACTGTGCACCGTACGTTGGAAGTTAACTTCAGGAATTTGCCTAAATTCAGCTGTTAAGCTCAGAATATTTACACACAATACTAACCTCCACAAATACAAGCATAAATGTGCTGCTAGTATCATTTGTCTATTTTCAGTTTAGATTGTATTCCTCTACCAACATAACTCTTGACAATAGTTGCATGTACTTACCACTGTGCCTAGAAACTGAATGCCTGTATCTCCAGATGCATTCCGAGAAAGTCGCTGGAAAAAAAAAAAAAAAACCCAGATGTAAAATCTGTTTGGATTGGAAGGGACCTTAAAGATCATCTAGTTCCAACCCCCCAAAGAAGCTTCTCTAGAATTTGAAACCATTTCATTTTTTGTGTGTCATATCACTGTAATCAAAACTAATTGAGTACACAAAACTATACATAAAATAGATAAAATATAACCATTTCCTTCAAGAATTTCAGTACTAGAAGCCTAATTCATATTCAGCTCGGATTCTGGTTTTGTTTCAGTCAATTCAATAAAATTTATTTCTGAAGAACAATGAAAATGAATATGGTCAAGTACAACACAGAACAACCTTGGTCTTTCAGAAAGATGAATGTCACGAATAACGAGGCTTTCGCCATCTATAAACATTTGCGATTCTGCATTCCTGTTATTCACATTTAGTATTATCTTCAGACTCTCCTAATGAGATACATTTTAATCTCTTTTTAAAATGCAAACCTCCAATGATGCTACTTTGAAAACAGGAAAAAAAGTGACCCTATGAAATGTCTGGTCACCTACTGTGGTTCAGGAGTTGATTGAAGTTATTAAACAGTCTTCAAATATTACATTGTCAGTAAGCCACAAGACAATGCAAAAAAAAAAGTTACTGATTTAACACAGTATTATCCATAATCTAGATATGCAAAACACAGAATTTTTCTTCTTGTGAATCATCTCCCCTTTCAACGTGAAAAGTTTTTCCTCCCTTTTTCTTCCTGCTATTAAATTACAGCAATTATAGACCCAAATTCAGGGCCCTAGTCACAGAACGCAGCCCTAATACTTAGAAAATACCAGGCATACAAGTACAGAAGCACAGATCTGAGAAGGTGAGTACAAATTGCAAATTACTGCACCGAGATCTTTAACATTTTAAAGACAACAAACCCTAGGAACAGGTTTGCAAATGAGAGATCTTCTAGTCTAGTACTCACAGTAGAAACAAAACACACCTGTGTTACTCCCAAAGGGTGCGTCTAACCTCTTCTTAAAATCTTTCAATTGCAGAGATTTCACAGACTCCCTAAGCAATTTATCCCAGTGTTCAGCATCCTTATAATTAGAAAGTTTTTTCATAATATCTAACTAAAATAACCCCTTACTGCAACTTCAGCATATTAAATCTCCTCTTTTTCATCAGATAGGAAACAGATTATTCCCCTTCTTTTTACAGCTACCTATAAGTATGTGAAGAGCCATTATCAGAGCTCCCTTTAGTCTTGTCTTCTCCAGACTAAGTGAGAAAGTGCTATACAACAATACCTAGATAACCCCTGAAACAATTCTAACAGAAAAAAATTAAATCCTGGTTCCTTTTCAATAATGGTGCATATTCCTCAGCTACACTTTATGAAGTAATAATTGTTACAACCCAAACATGCTTATTTTTTGACTTAACAGGTCACACACTGACACTGCAATCTGTACAATCATATGAAAACAAAGGATGATGTGCCAAAGCCTGACATATTTCAACAATAACGATTAATGGAATGGAAAATATGGGAAATAAAATTTCATACAAAACCTGACGTTTACTTTTATAAAGGAAACAGGAATATACACTTTTCCCACAGTCTAGGATAAACACAATCAGCTTTTGGAAACCACAAAGAAGAACAAAGTACCGGCTGCCTACAATGAATGAACTGCATGCCAAAACAAACAAGTCCCAACCACTTGATAAGCTGTCAGAAAATGGCAAGCCGAAAAAAATTAAAGGATTTAATTTCTTTTTTTCCTGGAATGCCCTCCACCCTTGTTAGAGTTCTGTCACTTATTGTACTACCCTTTTGTCCACTTTCAAGGGTCATTAGAGACCTTTTCATGTCCTAATAAAAATTCCAATTTTTTTTTTGGCTAATCTCCCCATCACACAGAAAAACACAACTTTAAAAAAAACAAAACAAAAAAGAAAGCTAGAGCCCTTTTGTCATTTTCTTTAAAGGCTTTCAAAGTACAGCCAGGTATCTTGACAACCTGACTTATTTTTCACAACTGAAAACCAAATCATTGTTATTTCCTCACACATCTTCTTTACTTGCAACTAAGTAAACTAGCACAGCAATAACTAAGCCCTTTCAAAAATAATTTAATAAAGCCAAATATATGTGTATATCAAGAAAGCATCTTCTAAAGCCATAGTCTCAAGACAAGACAAAGTTATAAGCAGCTTTTTTCCTGCTCTGATGCTGTTGAAGTGCATTGGTATCACAGTATAGTAAATTCTCAGTGCTACTGTTTGCTGTGTCCAAAATAAAAGCATTACATTCAGCTGTCGACAGCATTGAGAGTCAGTATAAGCACTAAAATCCGTCTCTTGAATTAATAGCCAGTGAGGTGGGTAGGAGAATAATGGGGAAGGTGAGGAAAAGAGTTAACAAACAGGAGAAAAAGAAAATAAATATTTTTTTTTTTTAAAAAGGAAAGAAAAAGGTAGAAAAATTCTCCAAGTCACAAAACATATGTTACATCAAGACCAAAAAGAGAACTGCCAAGCTTTTGAGAACCATGCTACAAAAGAAGTCAGCACATTATCATAATTAATGTTTCAAATTACAGTTGTAAATAAATTTCAGCTGTTAGATGTGATTAGATTTTTTGAAGCATATTGAAAGGACTTATTTCTGTTCCACTGGTGGGCTTGTGTTTCTGGGATTTGTAAATGTAATTGATGTTTTCAAGAAAATGAAAGGACGTGGTTAACAATTATTCTTTTATTTTCCATCTCTTTAGAAAAAGGACCAGTCTCCAGTTTCTCTTGTAAAGTTAGATATTTACATATTCTATACCTCATAATAGATGGTTTCATATTGCATGTGATAGCAGGAAAGTAATCAAATAGAGGTAACAAAAGAAAATAGCTCATTACATGCACTGTCATTGTTTTCCTAATAAATTGCCAATTATTTGCTAGGAGTTTTACACCGAAAAGCAAGGGAATTCTACCATTTGAACAAAGACAAAATAATGCTGTATTTTTACCTGGCAATACAGTAAAATTACATTGTTGGCATCAATTATGTGATCTTAAACATGCTCTTCTGGTTGATTCAACTGATGGAGCTTCATACTAACTTAATTAGCATAATATCAGTTAAAACTATATTTTTTTCCTTATGAGAAAGTAACAAGCTAAGTCAAATCTGGAAAAAACCCCACAACTTCAAAAAATCCATCTGCAGTCTCAAAGCTGTCAAATGGGTGCCAGTGTTACATAAATATTATACGTATTTTTACACACAGGTTACAATATGCTGTACTGCATATGCTCTGTATATACAAACAAAATGCTGATGGACGCATGTAAAAATAGACATGTGTATACAATCATACAAAATGTGTTTGATTTTCCTCCTCTATCTTAAGTGTATGATATAATACAGTCATTTCACAAATAATCATTTTAATCTGTAAATCCCAGCAAATTACTTGAGGTTTGTGCTGATATGACTTTAAATTCTTCTGCTTTGCCATAGAAAATTATTTCCACTTAGTTGGGTATCAATGATCTATTCATTGTAAGATGCAGTAGGGTTACAATCAGCTTTGCATTAAGCCAGCAGTGGATGAGCACTTGCAGATAAAAATGATAGCAACCTTTACATGAAAAAGGATAAAGAAGCACAGCCAAACATAATATATATATTATTGAAAGCGATTCTAAACTGACATAGACATTATTAGACAGCAACAAGATCTCGGAGTATTTTCCGCAAACCTTCTGGTATCGGGCCCTCCAAGCTACTGGAGGGGAGCAGCTGCAGGAAAGGAATGATACCAAACAAAGAAACTCCAATAGATCAAAAGCAATTTTTTTGCTTTGCTTACAAATGAAAAAGTAATGTGTCAAGTCAAAATGAATATGAAGTGGCAAAGGAAATCATATACATAAGTTTCTCAAACACATTTATCTTGAACTACTATATACTGACTTTATTGTTGAAAGTAAAGCTGGAGACCATTTGTTACAGAAAATGTATGGATTGTCACTTGGTCAATGTTTTTTGCAAGTTTTTCAAGCCATGGCATGACTGCTTTAACAATCAGATAACATGTATTCGGCTATACAGAGAGAAAGAAAAAGTAAAAAAAAAGCCCAGAAAACCTACAGACAGACTGTAGATAAAAATTTGAGTGAAGCACTGTGTAGTTTCCCAGCATGGTGCTGCTTGTCAGAATGCAGCAGTCCCTGTTACAGAATCACAGAAGGGTAGGGTCTGGAAGGGACCTCTGGAGATCATCTAGTCCAACCCCCCTGCCAAAACAGGTTCACCTAGAGCAAGTTGCACAGAACTGCATCCAGGTGGGTTTTGAACATCTCCAGAGAAGGAGACTCCACAACTTCCCTGGGCAGCCTGTCCAAGTGCTCTGGCAACCTCACAGTGAAAAAGTTTTTCCTCATGTTTAAGTGGAATCTCCTGTGTTCCAGTTTGTGCCCATTGCCTCTTGTCCTATCACTGGGCACCACTGAAAAGTCTGACTCCATCCTCTTGACACCCTCCCTTTACATATTTGTAAACATTGATAAGGTCCCCTCTCAGTCTTCTCTTTTCTAGGCTAAACAGACCCAGCTCTCTCAGCCTTTCCTCCTAAGAAAGATGCTCCAGCCCCTTAATCATCTTTGTACCCTCCATTGGACTCTCTCCAGAAGTTCCCTATCTCTCTTGAACTGGGAGGACCAAAACTCAATATTCTAGATGCAGCCTCAACAGGGCAGAGTAGAGGAGGAGGATCATCTCCCTCAACCTACTGGTCACACTCTTAATGCTCTCCAGAAATTCTGAACGTCTTACGACATGAATTTCAAATGGAGAATGCTATTCACTTTGATGCTATCCACTATATCCACTTATTTGGCCAATATTTATAAATTCTTGAAAATTCAACCTAGCAAAACACAGTTTAGAATCATCCCCAGACAGGTTTAATTAAAAAACAATTATTGCCACAATAGGGAAGTCGGGGCGGGG